ACGCTACCTATGCAGATGTGTGTGTGTGTGTGCAGACTGCAGAACTTGCGCGTCTGCCTACGTCGGTCGGACTGCGTGCTCAGCGCAGGGTGGCATACGCGACTCGAGGCTGCCTAACCCCACTTCTGTTATGGCCGCCTCTGCCCCCGTCACCAGGACGATTTTGCGTCAGAAGCTGTAGAGCAGGGGCGACAACTCAACCGTGAAAGTTTAATTTTTGCCTGGCAGGCATTATGTGCCAGAATTCATGAGGCATGTAAAAGGCAGATTCTGGATATTTATGAGGGCTATAATGGAAAACCTATCGCCATTTTTAGCTCATTACTTTTATTCGTACAAAGGACTTATACGTGGCCGAAAACTCCTCAAACGGGATGATTTATAAAGCGTCAGTTTGAAATAAAATTGGATGAAGCTAGATTTCTAACCAACACAGTAGTGTTAGCAAACCGCTCAATTCGTTCAAATATAGATCCAAATATAAATTTGAAGAATTTGGAAGGCGTTGAGCTAGACGCTTGAAAAACGGTTTGGCTTCTCCTATTCATGTCACATAGTGCATTGCGTCAAGGTAAACCATAATGTTTGTAAATCTTATTTGCTGAGAAAGAAGAATTCGCCTCACAATGGGTAAACTCATAGCGATCTGGAGACGGGGATTTGGGCATTTCTTAACCTCTGCTCTGAATTTTAGTAAAAACAGATTTCAGTCAACCTCATGAAGATGTAAGTACCACTATGACATTCAACTTATTTATCCTATCACGATTAGTTACTCTAAAGATATTGTTTATTTTATTTACTTTGTTCGACAGCCTTCATTTAAAGGCCTAGATATCCCGTTTAAAAATTTACTCAACGTTGATGTACTTGTGATTATCCGTTTAGATTTGTATTCCTATAAACTGCAAATCCTTCTGTTTGGCGTGCTTATATTTAATATACTTAGGATCCATGTCCTTCCTTTCAGTAATATGGGGGCACGCAAATCATGCTGTGAAGAAAGCATGAATTGGAATAGATCACGCCAAAAACTTCGCCCACATGATTATAGACGTTCATGTCACAACGTCCATGAAGTTTGCGTTCAATTTAATTTATTGGGAAAAATAAAAATATTATGAGGAAAGAACGAATAATAGCGAGGTCTTCAAAAAGACTGATCCACGTGATTGGAACCCTTATAGGCAGGCAGACAACACACCATCTATAACCACCCCTTCTATAACTTCAGTGAAGACTTCTGAGTGGAAGGCCTATACAGAAATTGATCAAAGTACTGAAGTGTAATGAGCAAACTTCAGATTATTAATCTGCAGTACATCAAATGCTGGAGCTTTTGAGTGTTAGCCTGACGCACTGCAGTATATGTTTTCAGAACGATTCAGCAACAA